AAAAATATTATTTTTCAAATTGATACTGTTTTGGACATTGAGGAAATGCTACTTAATACACTTGTCAAATAAATAGAAAGTGCAAAATTGTGAATTGATAATATCATATTCTGTCCTCATTTCTCTGGTATTTACCATTGATTCTTTCTAGGAAAAACTCATTTAAAGAGCTCATTGTTTTGGATTAAATTCATCTGGAAAATCACATCCACTGTGATCTATTTATAAAATAATTTCATTGTGAGTGATGATCACTATTTGCCAGTGATAAAGACAGTATTTCTTTGGTGTTTTGCCAATTTTTAAGTCATATTAGAAAAATTTGCAATAGTCAATGGTTTCTTTCAAAGTGGAAATATTGGAGGCTTTCATATATGAGTAATATGATAAAACTTCTGAATTTGGAAATTAAGAACTGTTACAGAGTCTCAAAAATTTGTGTGTGTGAAAAAAGATATCTATGATACCTGAGCAGGGCTGAGACATTTAGATAGCCAAAATTTACTCATAGGTAGGTTACCATAACCTCAAAAGCGAGGACAGTAAAGAGACATAAATGATCTAGGAATGAAGTCTTAATGTGCTCTGAGTACCTGGTAAATTTCAAATCCTACACTAGAAAGAATGACACTTTTATGAAACATAACACAATCTAATGTTGATTCTTTTCACATTTCACATCTTAAACTTCCAGACTCAGGCCAGTTTCAAGAACGAAAAATGGAATTAGAGTGAGAGGATTACACTTTGGGAAGGAATAAGAGTCATGCAGTTTTCATCTTCATTTCTTTAGATCTTTGTGTAGAATTCACACATGAGTTCAGTACCTACATCAGTAAATACAATTTATTATTTTCAGATCCCTTTAATGTTCATTAATATTAGGAATAATTCTCTGAAATGTGTAACCTTTTATATGTATCAGGAGTCAGTTATTTAACAGAAAAAGAAATATTTTAAAAATATTCTCTGACTCATACAATTTTCTGCAATAATATGATGTTTTATCTGTGAAAGACAAACCCTTTCCTGGAAGAAGAAGTTGTAAGAAATGATCAGCCTAATGGAGATCACAACTTCAGTGCCTAATATGTGGCCAAATTGCAGTTGCCTTGCACTGAATCCATCATTGCCCCTGCCAAGGTACCTTCTCCTCCTTTCACTATTTTAGCGAATTGCTGTCTTCATGCAGTCACTCAGCAGCCAGGAATCTGGAGTTATTCTAGGCACCCCTTCCCTTTGTTGCTCACAGTCTTTCACTAAATCATGTGAATTGCACATTTTCACCTGTTATGAATCTGTCCCCTCATATCCATGCCTGTAGTAGAGCGTTAGTCCATGCTCTCATCATCTCTTTAGCCTAATGAAAATGTTCCTCTAATTATCCACCAGTCATTCTACTACCCTGCCCAATGGCTCATGTCATCAGCTGATAAATTACAAAATCATTAAATTAGCCATCAGAGGTCCATGTGATTCTACGTAACTTGACACCTGTCTGCTGCTTTCATCTGGTCTCTTTCCAGGCTCTCACCTTGAATGCTAATTGTTGCCATTATTCCACACAGTTTCCGAATTCTGTATGGTTGCCTAATCATACCAGGCTGTTTCTTGACTTTTTGCTTCTGGTCATGCTAGTCTTTGCTGAAAATTATCCCTACGACCCGCCTTCCTTCACAATGCCCCTTCTCTGGCTGGAAAGCACATATAATACTCATTTTTCAACATTCAGCTCGAATGAGTAAAACTGATCATCCTTTTTTAATGTGTCCTGTATACACACAGGTCTTTCACAGCAGCTGTAATGCTTTACTGCGTGCATCTTATTGCTTGTCTATTTTTCCATGTCAAAAAACGAAAGGCTGTCAAGTGTAGACCATCTACTGTATTCATTATGGTTATCTTCAGAAACTTGCGAAGTTTTAGAAAATAGTAGATTCTTAATAATAAACACTTACTGAATTGGATACAGTAACAAAAGTCAATACCTGGGTTTTCAATAGGCATTTCAGGTGGAAGTCATATTTTTTGATTAGTGTTAAGAGGCATTGTCTGGAAAGATAAAACAAAAACCTTGTTTAAAATTGGGTAGGGAAACTTATCTTATAATCTTTAGCACAAACATTTCTCACAAGTTCTGTTTTGTCCATGATTCTGTAACAAGCATGGTATAAACAGGATTCCTGATGGCATAATTTTAAAAACATTTCATATAGGTGTCTTATAAAGTTTGTATAATTTCATAGACTACAAACATACTTGAAAATCTTAGAACTCC